CTCCCAAAGGCAAGGGGAAGTCCAAGACAAAAGACAAGGGCAAGACGAAGTCATCATGGCCTTCCTCTTGGGCCACTGCGGCGCGCCCTTCTGCCGCGACTTCCACGTCCGGAAAACGTGCCAAGGCAACTGTGGGCGCTCGCACAACTGCCCCGTCATGAAGGACGGCTGGGTCTGCAATGCACCCCCAGGGCAGCATAGCCCCGGTAATTGCACACACAAGTGACTAGGTCCACAAAAGTTCGATCTTTGATGGATCAAGGGCTGATCCTTGAGCCAAAATGGCAGGCCATTTTGGCTAATGAAATGTATTGTGGACACATTGTTTGCAATCCGCAAACTCCTTGCAAAACCAAAGTGTCCCCAAACATCAATCCAAAAAGGCAGACAGCAGCATCACAGAAGCAGCTCGCACCTCTTTTCAGAGAGGTGGTAGTGTCTGCCTTTACAGGTTTGAACTGTCCTTTTCAGGTCTTCACCTGGCTTACACTGGGTGGCATTCGAAAATCAGCCAATCCCGCAGGACGGAAGGCAGAGGCGCATGTGGGGCTGATGGTGTCTGCCAGTCTGCGGGGAAGGTGTGGTGCAGGTTGCGGAGGCATCAGCGACCAAGTCAGCTGGGATCTTCTCCGCATCCACCATCTCCCAGCTGGCCGTGCTCTCCGGGTGGGCCTCAGAGGCCGTCGGGCCGGCAGGAGCGAGCTTAGCCGGAGGGGTGCCGGGTTGTCCAGGTCCCTCTTTGTCGATGGTCACCACCCCCGGGTCCGCCCAGTCCGGGTGGTTCAGGTCTTCCCGGACCATCCGTGCCCCACCAAGATTCAAGGAGGTGAGTTTCGACGCCACTTCTTCCCAAACCCGGGTGACCACGTTGCGCTTCTCCCGGGTGTAGATGTCCGCGGATTCAGTGGTCCAGTTGCCCAGGTACTGGCGCTGGTCTCGAGGGATGTGCAGCTGGAAGGCGCAATCAGGGATGAAGACCCGGAAGGAGTGCCAAGAGAGGTTCTCCACCTGTGGGCCTCGTAGGCCTCGTCGTCCCAGCGCTGCTTTGAGCCATCGAAGCGCCCTGTCCGGTGAGGAGGGTCGAGGAATCAGGCCCAGACCATCCTTGCTCAGTGTGGGGATCAGGTAGTCCGAGTCCACGAAGGCCTCAAGTGCGTGCATCTTGCGCCAAGTGATGGTGAGTGGGGTCCACCAATCGTGGCCCGTGAAGGAATACTTGGGCGCAATGAGAGGGACCGGGGACTTCTTCATCTTGAAGGCGGACACATGCACTGAGCTCAATGGTGGAGGAACTGATCTGCAGGCTGCTAGTCGAGGTATGTTGGAGGTCATTGAACCTCGCACTGCATGCAACCTGGAAGCGGACCACTCCCAGGATGAACTGGTCCAGCAGGGGGATTCCCCCCTGATCAGGGCTCGGAGCACCTAGGGGGGGGGAATCCAAGCCGCCCAAATCACTTCCTTGGAGGGAACCATGGCCTTCCGCTGAGGCTTTGACACCATAGGCGTCAGTTGGTCCTGCAGTGCTTTGCGCTTCTCCTGGAGCCGACCGAGGGAGGCAACATCCAACAGTCCAAACCTCTTGGAGAACCAGCGAAGGGTGTCCCAGATGCGCTGGATCTTGTGCGGGGTGGCCTCCGTGTCGCGCAGCTTGTTGAGGAGGGCGCGCACCGCCGCCTCATCCCAGGGGATCTGGTTGAACCCCATCCGGATAAGTTGCTCAAGGCCCAGGCAGTGAATACGTAGGGCGCGGAAGCGTGTGTCACCCAAGAGGTCCATGTACTCCTGGAAGAGGTCTGGCCCATGTATTGGCTGGAGGTGGGGGATCTCATTGGCATAGGGCGCCATGTGGGCAATGAGCCTCCTCGCCCAGTGGAGCCGGAGGTCACTCTCCAGTCGTCGCTGGGTGGATGGTTCCATGTCCCGGATGCGACCGGGTTTCCAGTGCCGCCACTTCTCCAAGGCCTTCAGCGCCGGAAGAGGCTCGATTGGGGTTCGGAGCCAGTTGACCCGGTCCGCTGCGGCCCACCGTCGTTCTCGGTCATTGTAGGTCATCGAGTGGCGCCCCTGAGCGGTGGCATGGGCTAGGCGGCCAAAGGCCAGCGCCACTTCTTCAGCATGTTCTGGAGTCGTAGGTTGAGGCATGTTGTCCAGGGTGGAGTGGATTAAGAAGTCCAGGAACTCTGTGCTCACCACTCCAGTCGGTGTCTGTGCAGGATCAATCACTAGAAAGGGTTCGAACAAGCCCATGAGCAATTCCGCCTCCCCGTAGTGAGCCGCCATGATCAGGGCGGTCAGACATTCCCCGTCTGCCTGGACGGGCGAGAGGCCATTGCGTCTGAGGGTGTCCTGCATGTGGGAGGGGCTTCAGGGCATAGTGCTGAAGCTCCATGGAGCAAGGCTGGGGAGCCGTCCATGCACACCGGAGGCTCCGCCCGACTGCCGCCAGGTTCACGCCAGCGCCAAGTACCCTCAAATGGCTGCGGAACAAGCACAAGGCCCCAAGTCCCACATCGAAAACGAGAAAACAAAAGGTCACGTCCGTCTCGTTTCAAAAGCAAAAAGCCGGTACCAGGGGCTTTCCCTACGACTCGGGCGACTGCAAGTGGTACGGTCCACTCTACGGCTGTGGCCAGTGGCAGAACGGAGGCGCCACCACCTGCCACACTAACCTCCACCGAGCAAAGGGACTTCTGAGTGTCCCCCAAATCGGGGGCATCCGACTGCCAACAGAGCTGCTTGTCCGCATCAAAGCTCATGGTCCAAGTGACTCCATCCACCGTCACAGAGCCGTCGGAACCTTCCCCTCCGTAGAACCACGGTGGAGGCACTTCTTTTTGGCTGGCAAGATCCAGCTCGTGAAGCAGCTGGCGCACATGTAGGGCAGCTTGTCCTCCACCTCCGGGAGGGTCGTCAGCTTCTCCATGGAGCGCGCCCCTTTGGGCAAGTGCTTGGCCTCCCAAATCTCCTGCGCCAAGTCCTTGGCAATGGCATAGACCTCAACAATGCGAGCAAAGGCCGGCGGGGTGAGCTTGTTCACGTCAAACTTGAGCAAAGCTCAACGATCTCACCCACCTGGAGGCTCCGCAGCGGCTGCGCCAGTTTCTTCGGGAGGCAGGGAAGGCCAGCCATGACATTGGTCAGAAGGATGTTCCCGTCCTGGGCAAAGGAGTAGGTCACAGGATCCTGCAAGCGCTGCTCCATCGGAACCTCAGTGTCCAGACTCGTCCGCAAAGTCGAGGAAGGCACCGGCGGCAGCTGCTTGCCCAGCGGCGACAAAGCCCCTGAGGCCGGCACAGGGACACATCCGGGGGAGGCTCGGTATCAGGGCATGAAGCACCTGCCAAGGCTCTCGAATGGTCACCCCCATCCAAGGCACCAGTTTCAGAGGGACTCGCTGACGGAATCCCAGTGTCAGGGCCAGAGGCACCTGCCGGGACTCCCGCGTCGTCTCCCTGATCCAAGGGGCGTTTGCGGCTGCTTGACACCGCCGATGGATCCTCGCTGCCACCTCCTGCTCCATGGGATCCGGTCCCAGGATCACAAAGTCCTCCGCAGAGTCCAAAAGTTCGAAGTCGAAGGGTTCCGCCATGGCGGCGAAAGTCAGAAAAGAGCGAAAAGCGAAAGTCGCAAAAGTTCGCAAAAGTTCGATCTTTGATGGATCAGGGGCTGATCCTTGAGCCAAAATGGCTACGGCCATTTTGGCTAATGAAATGTATTGTGGACACATTGTTTGCAATCCGCAAACTCCTTGCAAAACCAAAATATCTAAGTCACACCATGAGTACAGTGCTTAAGCAATCTCTGAGGTCTCCACGGTCTAGTCCCTACCTTTGTTTGTGCGTACCCACCACCCGGGACTGTCACAAGCGATGCAACAAAATGATGTTTGGAACCAAGGCCATCATCGGCGACCACTGAGCATGAGCACCTTTTCAGTGGAATCGATTGAATCGATGGTACACCCGAGGCTCGAGGCAAAGTGTTTCTATAGGTCAAGGACGGGTCTGCTCCAGCTCTGTTGTCCATGAAACTGGATCCTCTTCTGCTTGAGAGCCCTACTTGACCAATAACCAGGGCTCCTTGAACAACCGCTTAGAAGGGGCCTTCCCTGACGTCCAGACAAATCGCTAGCATGGAAGGAGATATGAATGTCAATCACACTGCTTAAGGCGAAGTTTGAGTGTTGTGAAATGACATATCTGCCATGTGATTCACTGTATCTGGATTCCAAGCTGTCTCTTGACCCGTGGCACCCAAGGTGCAACGGCAACGGTGAGACTGAGTAGGCATGTGGCTGCCTGAAGCAAGTCAAGGGTGCCAGAGTTGGTGGAACGTGTGTTGAAGATGACCAATCAGGATCAGGGTTCGTTTAGGGCGGCTTCTCTGAGAGTACCTCTTGAAAAGCTCAGCTAACACTCCCCCAGTGGCCATACCACCTAATCCGCGCGCCCGCACATGCCCACGACGTCGACGTGGTGGGTCTGACCTGGACTCAAGCCAAACAAGGGTGGGCCTTCGTCGAATTTTACCATGTTTCGCGATGCTTTACGAATTGGTGAAATGCTCTGCAAGTACCTGTCTTCAGTGTGTCCTTCACTCATGGCCTCATGGCCCACTCCCAGCATATGGTGTTTCTCAAAAGTTGAGCCAAGTCCATGAGCTAGGATCCATTCATTCGATTCATTGGCACCAAGTCCATCCCTTTCTTCTCGGAGAGCTTGACGGATCTCTTTGCTCAATCCGGTGGAGTGCTTTCAACCGGGAGGCCGGGAGGCCGCACTTCCTTTTCGCTGTGAAACGTCTTTCTAAGAGAGTCGGGGATGGTGAGCTCGACTAAGGAGGTGCCATCAAAGGCACCTGGCCCAAGATAGGTCTTTGGGTTCAGAATGGTTAAGCTTTGCAAAGCACTGCAACCTTTAAAGGCAAAGTCCCCAATGTCCGCCACAGATTCTGGAAGACTGAGGTTCTTCAAGGCACTACACCCCTTGAAAGCCGACTCCCCAATTCGGGTCACAGAGTCCGAAGGGAGGATTTCCAAACTGCTCAGTGAGCTGCAGCCTGCGAAGGCACTGTGCCCAATATGGGTCACAGAACTGGGAATTGTCAGGCGTTTTAAGGAGCTGCAGTTTTTGAAGGCAGCAGATCTAATCGAACTCACAGAATTTGGAATAGTGAGACTTCGCATGGAACTGCAGCTGGCAAAGGCACAGTCCCTGATACAAGTCAAAGAGTTTGGAATCTCGAGGCTTCCCAAGGAGCTACAGCCTTGAAACGCGGCTTCATCGATGAGGGTCACAGAGTCAGGTATGGCCAAACTAGTCAAGGAACTGCAGTCCTTGAAAGCGCTGTATGCAATAGACGTCACTGAATTGGGGATTGTCAAGCTCGCCAAGGAGCTGCAGCCATGAAAGGCAGAGTCTCCGATGAGCGTCACAGACTCTGGGATGGTTATGCTGATTAAAGAGCTGCACCCTTCGAAACCAAAAGGCAGAATCTCAGTCTCGGAGTCAGGAATTCTTACAATCAGCAACTCTTGGACATCGTACCCAGATTCTTCCCAGCTGCGACATTCCTCTGCATCCACTGAGAAAAGGACATGCACCTCTGTTTCAGCGGAGATTCCAGTGTCCAGCAGAGTCGCATTCTCATCACCCTCCAACTTTTGGCCATCAAGCACCAACTCTACAGTCGTTACTCTCCTGGTGACATGATCTGAAGACTGCAGCGCTGTGAGCTGCCATTTGAAGTCAGAGATCTTGGTGTCTGGCATCACTTCTACGATGGTCATCTGGCCACTCATCTGGAACACGGACACCTTCATCGCCATGGCGCGAGGGTCATCAAGCATTTTGTATGTGAGTCGATGCGGTAGGATGAGTCGATGTGTGGATGCTCTTCTATCCTTGATACGTTTCTGATTGAAAGCCTCTGGTCTATGGTCAGCCCTTGAAAAAGCTGCCCACAACTTGGCGTCCATGTTGCAGCTCATGCGGACAGTGAAGCCACAAGAGCACTCTTTCTTGCTTGCATGGATGAGGTGTGACATGGCCCTTGTCCAGAACCTATGACCTATGATTTAACAAAAAATATAAATCCTTGCCACGGAAAGCTCCCTCCGTCCGTAGGAACATTGAGTAGGACAGGGGCTGCTTGTGTCCCTTCTCCTCTACCAGCCCATCAAGACAAGCGAGGTCAGTGACCGCAGTTGAACGGCAGGGATTGAATAAATAGTCCCTTTCCATGTCCTTCTTTTCATGGTTTAACCAATATGTAGATATTCTATACACCTTTGGACCTTGCTTTTCTCCCTCAAATATCCCTTTGAACTCCCTCTTCCCCATGCACAAACCCATTCCAATCGCCCTTGGTGGCTTTCCCGAACCTTGAAGTGTACTTTCAATCACCTGTACCTTCAAGTGAATTCTCCAAGCCTTGTTCCGGAGTCCAAACAGTCTCGTCATCCTTCGATGTCGCTGGCCCCGCTGAGCACGACCGGAGCCTCGATGCGGCGGTCCCTTTTTCCTCCCGCCGAGCACGAAAGAAGCTCCCGGCCGAGAAGCCCGACAGGCCCGCCTCGGTGGGGGTTGCGACGTTAGGCTCAGGAATCTGAAAGAATCTATGACAAATATGATGATCTATGTACGCCCTGCTTTTCAAGGGAAAGAACAAAGACGTACAGGTACAGAAAGTACATGAAAGTACCAATAGTTTCTGCTGGTTCTTGGCCATACCTCGATAGATTCAACTCTTGTCTATCACGCTCTGGGTCACTTGCAAACCAAGTGGACAGTTGTGGCCGGGGGTTGTTGGGTGATCTCCCACACAGCCGGTCCCTGAAAAGCGGGCACACAAGCAAGTATCCTGCAGTGGTTCACGAACTCAGTGAAAAGACTTGCGATGTTGTGGATTAGAGGTCACTCCGAAGTGGGTCACACTGAAGGATTATAGAGGTTTGCCGCGGTATTCTGATGGTCTATGTTCACTGCTCTTGGTTGCTTTCGGATTTCGAGACGCGACCGCTCCAAGCCCCGACGACGCTCAAGCGGCCACAAAGGGCAGAACCAAGTCCATAAGGCTCACCTGGTCGGATTGCCGATCTACCAGGAGCGTTCGGACGCTACTAGGGGCGCTCCAGGCCGTACTACTAGGAACAAGAAGCTACTAGTAACAAAGGGCATCGCTACTAGGAGCAAGGACGCTACTAGTGACCAGTGTTGTTTGCGAAACATCTCTTCATCGGTGGGCAGGGGCCATGCAGGTGCGGTGAGTGCATTTCAGTGAGGAAAGCCGTGGAATGACGATTTGTTGATGGGCCCTTTGATCCTTCATAGTGCTGCGAGATCCAGTACTAATCTGACTGGAACTCCCGCTTGTAGAAGCAATAAAGTCGGCATCCCTGAAACAAGGGTTGTGCCGTTCAGCACGTCAGAAACAACCTCTGTGTCTCTTCAAATAGATGAGCACTCCTCCAGTCAGTCCTTTCAGCCACTGCCTCCTCCACCGCCGCACCAAGTACGGACTCCAGTGACCGCAGGTTCCTGAATTCTGTGCCCGGAGTGTCGCCCCCTTTGTCGTGGTCATGTCAGAAACAAACTGGGACTTATTGTGAAGTTATTGAAGCTATTGTTGAGTTCGTACCAGACTTGAAACGAAGTGATCATCGAGGACCCGGTCTCGTGGAGAAACCCTTAGCCTTAGTCCCAATAAGCCTATAGGTCATGACGAGCCTACACATGTGGCCTGCTAATTTCCTCTTCGATGGCTTGGGCCCCCGCTTCCCCACTTGCCTTTATGAAATGTTATGAACAAACCAAAACAAACCACTTTCACATGTATAAAAGACAAGCTATCGGAAAGTGATCTATTCTGTTGGTTCGGATTGTGTTTTTGGCCAAAGGAAAATCTGACCATTGATGACTCCTACCACAGAATCTAAGTAGGCATACTGCACATGGCACGTGATTGTCCTAGCATGTCCTAACAACTGTTAGTGGATTTTGATCGACTGCAAAAAGGAGATTGAGACACATTCCTGCCCTGACATGGGAGTACTAAGAACTTCCGCCACAACATGCTTTCTGGCGCTGGGCTGCTTGGCAGGTGACCAAGGAACATACAGTACATGAACATACCATCTTTGGACTCACAGTCAGTCATTCTGCCCGCCAATTCCGCGATCTGTGAAAACAACTGGCACAGCTCGATTGTCGAAACCTCACAAGGGCAAGTTCCGACACAAAGGGACCAAGGCACAATGTTCCGACGTCAATCTCCCTGAACACACCTGGCGAGGCCGAGTCGCCATGTCTCCTTTGAAATCCGTTGGAAACTCTGTGGACCTCCCAAGACTGTTCTCCCTCGAGTTTCCAAACCAAATTTCCCGTTCAATTGTATATCAGCGGAGCAGAATTCGGGTGGACGAATTTCAAAGTCAAAAGGGAAGATGGTGAAGCGGCCTTGGAAGTAAAAGGCCAAGATGGCCAAGACCACTGCGAAGGCCAAAGGAAGCACCGTCTCCATGAGCCCGCGCACTCCAACCTGGTTGAGTCAAGCAAAGAACCACCACGATTCCCCAAAGGCATCGGGCTTCACCGGTCAATTGAAATGTCAAGCTGCGGAAGGAGAACTTGAGCTTGCCACAACATGTTGCAAAAAGTGGCCATAAGCCATAAGTGCGCGAACTTCCCCACAATATCCCACAATGTTTCTGCTCCAGCATGGTCTACTGTCTTCAGATGGTCTTCCTCTTTCCCGAGCCCGATGAGCATGTTGGGACAAGACACCAGCGTCGCAGCTTCCAAAGCCAAGTCGCCCAGGCCTTCCTGCCAAAGGAACTTCCTCGGGAAGGAACGGACATGGACTCCATGGGCCGTGACCGGCATTCATCTCTTTGATCTGTGAGGGTTTCGCTTCTTGTCAACTTGGAGACCTCGATACATTTCTCAGAGTGCCAGAATCCCTATAGTGGCCCGAAGTCCCATCGTTGTGAATAGCCGTGCCAAGACCGGAACCAAGCCCAGGGTGGGTCTTCCAAAACGGGTCCCTCAGTCCCCTTCCAGGCCTGAACACGAAGCCATCTAAAAAGCCTCAGTGCGCGGGCCCCAAAGTAGCATTCCAACAGTTCAACCCGGTGGCTCATAGTTTCTCAACTGCTGGAGAGTTGATAGCTGGGAAGAGTCTCTTGGAGATGCTTTTCGGAGGAAATGAATGCTTCAGATTCGAAAAGGCGCACCCCCTGCAGAGCATGTCGAATTGCTTCTGTCCAGACAGCATCGCAAAACAGGACGAAGCACGACAAATTCTAGATTCTAGAATCTAGAAGTTAATCTCAGATTTCATGTTGAGAGTGCAAAGCTTGTCTCGACAACAACCCGGTCACTGACGAGAACCTGGGGAAATCACAAGTTCCGCTTTTGATTCAATCGCACAGTTGAGGGATGTTGTGCGTCAAAGTCTCGGAAGACTTGCAGTAATAATGCACATGACATGCATATTAGACCTTTCAATGCTTGTGGAATTCCATGTACTCGCCGCAGTATTACCATACCAGCAACCATTCACAAGAACACCCCCACTCCGTGAGCGTGCTTTCCACGTTTCCCTTACAGCGCCAAGGAGCCTGGGCTGATGACCACCCTCGCCAAAGCTCGGTCGACGCCTGTGGAGAAGCCCAACAAGAGTGGCAATACCCCACGTGGCCCGTGAGACACTTCTACCCGGTTCTACCCAGTTATGCTTCGGGAGGGAAGAGCTTTATCCCCTGATAACACCCAGGAAGATGTCTCAAGTCCAAAGAGTCACTGAGTGGGTCAGAATCATCAAATACCCAAGCTTTATATCGTCAAGTTCTCAGTCCGGGTCTGGCCCTGCTCGCTGCTCCTGTGTCGCTGCTCCCGCTCTCGCTTCGCCTGGCTTCTTCGAGAAGGAGCCAAAGACCGAAGCAAAGGAGCCCTCGGTGTGAACCCAGAAATCCAGCATCGATCGCAAGGCTTTGTCCTTGGTGCCCGAATCGGCCAAACTCAACTCGCAGCCCTATGGCTGAAAATGACCCTTGTTCCAGCAAAGCCCAAGGTTGGGGCAGTGGTTTCTCAAGAAGCCTGTTGAAAATCCTGAAATTCAAACAAATATGTCGATCATCATGCTCCGATGAGGCAGATCCGAAATGCATATTGATCGCACCGCCTCCCCTTTGCAGGTGTTGATCCAAAGACTCAGCATGATGCATGATAGACATGTCAACTAGAAGAGGTTTGCCAGCTCGACAAAAACACGTCAAAGCCGAGGCACGTTGCCACGCCGCAGTAGCAGTTGGACGATGAACTTGTCGAGACCTCCGGGAGGTGTCCAATCCCAATCCGCTGCAACCTGACCCCAGTAAAAAATATGTCTATATATAGAAAATGGTACAGTTGCGTGAACAAGAAAAAAGGAAAAACGCCAGCCCTGCCGCAGGCACGAATTCAAACATGGCGCACCTGGCTCTTGCAAGAGCTCCGTGATGAAAAGCATGACATCCTCGCGCTTAGCAATGCGGGCAAACCACTTCTGCATCTCAGGATCACGGTTCAACCACCTCAGCATCTGGCATATGGATGACACCGTGGATATGGATGTGTGACAATATGTGATATGCGTTCGATGGATTTGTCTGTTGCTGGAGCTGGAGAACCAAATCTGCCTTCAGACGTGTCTTGTCTGGACCATTTCTGTTTGACATATATAACACGTCATGTCTCACAACTCTGGCTCTAGGGATTTTAATATCCACTGACACAGGGTCGGCCATGTCGTGTCTACATATTTGTTCACCGGTTCGCGTCAAGGTGAATTGGCCCTGATTCTGATTCACCAATGGCCCATATGTCGGGCTTCACGATCTTTCTGGAGATGCTCTGCGAAGTTTCAGAATGTACAACGGGAGTCTTGACAAGCGAATGATCTCTGCTCGACAAGCCTCTAAAACATACTGAAACCGAGAACAACGGTGCGACTCTTGACAGCATCAATTCATCGAACAACTATGGGATACCTGCGGACTATTGCTCGAATGATGGAGCCTCAAAGAGGCCTCAGAGAGCTCATGTGTTTCCTCGAAAACTTAAGCAACACGTGACCAACGTGCAAAACACAGCAGACGTGGAGACCATTCGAACCTATTCAAATCTATGGTCTCCACCTCTATTATGGTGGATGGGATGCTTCATCAAGCTACTACAAATGTTCATAAATGTTCTATGATACTCTCGGACATCAACTCCCAAACCACACTAGCTCAAATCTCTCCTTCCACTCTTGCAGGAGCCCCTAGTAGCGTCCTTGCTCCTAGTAGCGATGCCAGGAGCCCCTAGTAGCTTCTTGCTCCTAGTAGTACGGCCAGGAGCCCCTAGTAGCGTCCTAACCGCTTCTTTGTTCACGATTCCACCATGCCAATACGACCTTCCCTAGTCCACCATCCGTCTTCACCTTTCAAGGGGCGTCACGAAGCGGTAGACCCCCGGCTGCCGTAGGAGGCGGATCACGAAGCGTCTTGCTTCGTTGAAGCTGAGGAAGTCCGCCACCTTGTCCTTGATCGGATCCGATCGCTGTAAGATGTGGACATCAGGGAGAAAGGAAGTGGGGCAGAGATGGACGGACATGGAGAGTGGAACACTTTCGGATCTGGCTGAGACACGAAGAGACTGACTGAGACCAAATGGTGGAGGAGTTTGGGTATGTTCGGGTTACCGTCTCCCAAACCCGTGTGGGCATGACAGGCTATTTGGGGAATGGGTATGGACTGTACCTGCATAGACGGGGTAGGAAGATTCTCTTGAAGAACTGATGCTCTCTTGGACGAGTCTTGTCTTTTTCTCAGGATGTGCTCACACACTACTTGCGATACCTCAACTACAGTCAAGTGTTCCTTGTAAGACGACCACTCTCACATGTGTCTCTTTTGAAAACAGTTTGGCCCCCGAGAATGCTTCCACTGTCAAATTGTGCACCCCATCTCTAGTGACCTTGCCAAAGGCGACCTAGCAAAGACAAGGCTCACACTTCATCAAAGGCGTGGCAACAACCACCAGAGTCTGAAGAAGAAGCTCAACTCAGACCTACTGCACTGTACAAAAATCAGCAAAAAATGACCCCTGGCCGCCACGCCCATGTCCGCCATACGAGCCATGTCTGCCAAAGGGCGATGAAGCCATCCTGTAAAAGGAGCCGCTTTGCGAAGCCTGCGCCGCGGGGGTCGTTGAGCACACCAGCCAGCCAGATCTCGATGCCCTCCGTCGCGCAGAAGTTCATCGCCTCAACCGTTTGGCTGAATGCTCTAGAGACCACGAGCGACGTCGGAGGACATAAGTTCATACTCAACCAACGATCCAACCATATCAAAAACCCAGAGGGAACCAAGCGGAACTCAAATACGCCTCTAAAGAAGTTGGTTTGGGAGCTTCTTCCAAGTGTTTCTTAGATTTTGCCGTCAGGCCACCCAGAGCTCGGCACCGGGTACCGCACATGCGCGGGCCACTGCCATTGGCAGCTCCTGGCGCCGGCGGTGGGCCCAGGCTGCTGAGGCCTCTGCCTGTGAGTGGCAGGTCGAGTGAGATCGAATGAGGTCGAGTAGGCCTCGGGGTGAGTTCTCAGTGAATTTGAACCCCACAAGATCCAAATGCTCGACTGTTATGTGTTGACTGCGGAAGTCGTGGTTTAATGAACAGGTATATAGCTCCTGTACACGAAAAAAAATCCCCCGATTGAGATTTGAAGAGGAAACTTGCGAGGCATCAGAAGAAAAACATTCCGGACAAATTGATTTTCTGTCCTTGAGAGGAGATTCCATACCAAAGCTCGGGGTAGCTTGTAGGTTAGATCTTTTGTATCTCGGTCAAGAATCAACGAGATTTGCGTCGAACTGAGTGGACGTACTGAGTGCACTGAGTAGCTACTGGGGCGAAGGGTTGATCCGGGGAAGGATGCCCAAGAATTCATGGACTCAATGGACCTGGTTTTGGGAAAGGATGAGTCTGAAAAAAGGGGTGGACATATCGTAAATTTCACATTCATAACCATGACCGACGCACAAGAAGACACGCCAATGCAAGAAATTCTTGCGAATAACGAATTGCATCGGCTAAGTACATCTGGCAGCTACGCTGCTGAACAGGTTGCTTTCGCATGGCCAAGGGGGAACAAGGCTCTCGTCACCTATCTTTGGAACAGTTGAAGTTGGTGTACGCGGCGTACGAGGTAACATGAATGGACCATCATCATCACCATCTACCTGCATGAAGCCTGGAATACAGTAGCTTCAAACAAACTGTGCATAGCTGCTGCATACATCCCGTCCCCCATCCAGTCGTGCTTGAGACGCCACAGCAAATGAATAGATAATAGAGGAACATTGTGAATGTTGGAAGATCCGAAGTATTGCAGGCTCTGTTGACCTCATAGATTGTTAGGTTCAAACATGTTCAAACTCACTGTCAGTGAAAGCTCGACTTCGATTTGTGGAGTAAACTTCGCACAGATTGCTCCCCTTAAACTTGAACAGCTACTGGCAAGCTTGCCGTAAAAGTGAATCAAGCCTGAGCTTCAAAGGAATGTCAGTGTGTACAAAATAGGAGCCAATGGGCTTTTGCTATCTTTTGCATAGTTTCCTTCTACAACGGTTACCAGAGATACCAGGGTCCAAACCAGGGTCGCATTGTTTTGAGCTTTCACCTTGAAGTTAATATGCCTACAAATGATCCTGCATACATGTCTGCCTTGGTCTTCAGGACCACACTGGCGACCAGCTTTGCCGTGGCTTTGTACTGAAGAAATCGCCTGGCAACACGCTGCAAGATCCATGTAAACGACGTGTGCACCACACGTCAGGGCAGCAGGTATGGAATTTGAGTCAGATTCTGATCATGAATGTTCTTGCAACCTATAACTCCCGTTTCGCAAGGAAATGAGTGCTATCCGAATCAGAAGGACAAAGTCCTCTGTGACCCAAGCCCCTGCCCAACATCGCGATTTCGCAAAAGCGTGGCTCCCCATCTTTGGTGTTTTGATGACGCAGATCCCAGCTGCGAAGGAACCAATGGAACATGATCTGGCTGTAGTGGGGATTCCAGGCTTCGCTCGTAGGATCTTCCTAACTGACTTATAGAGGAAGTTCGGACTCGAGATCGGCCTCACCAAATGTGGAGGCACCGCGACGATGAAGCCTCGCTCGAGCTGAATGAAAAAAAGGTCTCCAGTGGCTGCACTTGAAGGAGGAGGGGACTTTGTGAACTGGTCTTGGGCAGTTGCAGTCATGTCACCCCCGCCCCAGATGCCCTCAACAGAATGCTAGGCAAGTATCAGTATCAGTATATAATTAGGTTCTCGATGCAAGGGTTGGTGCGGGAAGAACTAGGTGCGACCTCTAACAATTGAACATTACCATCAGGTCCTGCCTTTCTGCCATAGTAGAGAACAATATGAAACTTCCAAAATGCTAAGCAAGAGGCGCCGTAGAAAAGAGCCCATGCCTCTCCGCCCCAGGACAGTTCCAGCAAGGATCCGAGCAGTCTCCTGAAAGCTCCGAAACGAGGGGGTCTTTTCGGGATTCGGTCATATCTTGGCAAATCCCAGGCATGTTTCAGAGAGTCTAGGTCGACCAGCTAGGTCGGATGGAGACAAAAACCTGGATATACGAAAATCAAGACTCATCTGAAAATCAATGGAAAACCTGACTGCAAGAAGCCAATCCTGAGAATCACCGACAACATGCTGGGAAGAAACCAACTCGTGTCTTCAACCGGATGATCCGTCCAACCTGATTCTCGCGGCAAAGCTCCACCAAGGCGGTATCCAAATAGAGGACCTGCCACCCCCCCCATTGAAGTTCCAAGATTCGAGGATCTGGGAACCCAAAATGAGAGTTCCATTGGTCGGGACTCTCCTACGCCCGTATGTCGATCAAAGGTTTTTTAGCCTACTACCTACTTATATAATACTAAGTAGATCCCTACTTCATTAAGGGCTAGGTAAGCGGACGCAGTATGGCTCATGCTCGCACTATTCATTCGTTTCCTAGATTCATCAAAAACTGGCTTATTGACCTTTCTTTTGACACCGAAGGTGGCACATGTTTCATTTAGTTTGATACCATTCAAAGGATGGCCCAAGCACGCTTGGTGTAATTTGCCCACAACAGGGCAAGTCTCATGGTTAGCATGTTGAACCACCAATCATCAAGCACAAAAACCTCAGGTTTGGCTCCGCAGCTTTCTGGTCCCACCCCGGTGCCACCATACGCTGATGTTGAGCAGGTGGGAAAGCCGAAGAAGTGACCTCAACCTAATTATGGCCTTCACTTGATAGGAGCCTATGAGTCTTGGATCAAAAGGGACCAACAACTGGTACTTGGAAAATCATACTGACCCTGACGCCTCTATTATCGTCAGCCAAGCTGCATTCACTACACCGCGCTCCACTCCGTCTGTTCGGAGGAAAACAAGCCTGAGGTTTCACGCTTCAGCCCAGATGAACAGCGCGAAGCCACCGCAGAGAATTTCGTAGGTTGCACGTTGCACCCAGAAAGACCCAAAATTGCACCATATGCATAGATATCAGGTGCAACATGGTGTTGGTGGTGAATGAAAGTAAGCGTCCCTAGCAGAGTAGATAGAAAAGGCAGCTATCAGCTATCCAAATCCCAGAGTTCGACTGCCTCCAGATTCAAACCAAGTTGTTCCAACTAAGACCCACAACTAGAACTGGCCAAGAGTCCAAAAGAAATGTTCCAGGGATGATAGTTTTGGTGACGTTTGAACGTTTGATCACCCAAAATCCCTGCCCAAACTTGCCAGAGCTGCATGGCTCGTCGAGCTTTCTTGTGGCGGAACAAGAGCTTCAAGAAACGCCCAGTGAGGACTGGCTTCAAGCACAGGACTAGCAAGCGCCACCGGAGCAAGCGACTCACCTCAGGTACTCTGAAGAAACCCAGCCCATTCCAGTACTCAAAGACAAATCAGATGTGATCTTTTCTTGAGCAGGACCCAATGTACCACGCCCACAAAAAGAATAGGAAATCAAGACTCTCAACAGTTGAGATGGTGGACCAACTGGAAGCTTTTCGCAGAATCTCAGGCGATTCGTCTGTGGCTTGCCAAGACTGTTTGCTCGATCGTATTGAAGGGCGTCAGCCAGTTGCTAATCCATGCACAACTAGCTGAACTAGCTGCAGTACAGTTGATAGTTTCTGTCATCCAAATGCCCAGAAGAGAACCCTGCAACCCAGAGGGCTGTGACCTGGCTATCTCCGACCCTCTGCACTCCCAACGTTTTTCATGGCGGCTTTCCTGCACCCCAGGTCACCAAGTAGGCCGTTGGTGCCCAGGAGAGCACACTGATCGCAGCCTCGGCTTGAGACCATGGGAACGATATCGTGTTACTTGAATTGACCTGGGGATTGCATCCACGCCAAATTGGAAAAGACGTCAAAATACAATGACCATGGATTCCTCAATAGTTTGGTCTTCCTGGATCCCTGGGAATCAAGAAACGACCAACAAAGTCCTAGACGCATGAGAAGTACACACAAAAAGAGTCATGTAGCATTTGGAGAAGAAGTTGCCATTTGTGTAGGGGAAGCTTTGGAAAGGCATCTCTTTCCACAAGCTCTTGGTTTCCTGGCGTTAGAACCCCAAGCTTGAAGGATGTTTCCTGGCATACACTCGCAGCCTTTCTGTGAAAAAAAACTTGACGAGTCACTTCGCAAAGGCACAGCTGAAGGAAATGCCCTGCACCTGGGCCATCCGGCCAGTGGAATGTCTCAAAAGCTGGAAAAATATCCATCAACGGCTTCCCCAATTGGACCTGAAATACCTCATGCCAGAATCTGCTTGAGCCAGCATCTCTTCAATCTTCATGTCGCCAAGGCACGGGCACGGCGGCCAGATCTTGGCCAATAGACCCAACTCCAGCTGTCTGGGATTTGAAGATCTTGTGGCTTCACATCCTGCAAACATGCTGACAGGATCTCAAAAAACTTGAAAAGGCAAACTTTTTTCAGGACTCTTTAGAGACTCTAGTGTGGTGAAGGAACTGGAGGCCATTCTTGCATCGGTTTTTGGAATCCTTCAGTTGATGACTTTCTTTTGAACTCTGACTGCTCAAGACTCGAGACTCATGATTTTTTCGCACTCGTTCTGCACCAAATCAACCAACACGACATAACGCGACAGTGTGTTGCCTGAAACAACTCGACCAGCTGAGCCGCACCATGACACCGGTCCGGTAGTGGTCCTCTGGTACAAAACTCCCACCAAAGACCGCCGCAGATGGGGTTGCGAGCCGGTCCTCAGAGCGTTCTTTTCAGGCCGAAGTGTTTCAGGGGAAGCCTTGGGGAGGCCCCAAGGCATTGGAGACACTTTCGGGAAACGTTCTGTGTTGTTTGCCCCACCCTGCACATGTGTTGATATGTTGAACCGCAAAAAATGCATGTCCAAAAAGGTGTACAATGAAGCAAGTTAACGCCTTATGCAAAACAACAAGGTGAATTCAAACCAGAACTTGTTACGGACAAAACCCCTTTCATGTAAACTGCCAATGCCATTCCGCGCAACTATGGCAATTACACCGGCGTAGACCCCAGATAGCGGGAGTATAGGGAACACTGCCTGAGAGAAAAAAAGTCTAATAGCCCACACCAGCATGCCCCAAGAAAACACCGATCCAGCACCAGCACCCGCGCGAGCACCTGCACCAGCACGCCCAAACAAAACGCCGATCCAGCACCAGCACCGGCACGGGCAAAACGAAACGCCCATCCAGAACCACACCATTGAGAAGTAAGACCTGCATTTTTTGGAAGCTTGCCTGCTCTTCAATCTGGGATTCAACTCAACATACCCCTCACCAGAACTGTGTCCACGAGCTTTCATTCCCGAGAAAACACAACACCGCTCAGGGTTTCGCTTGTTCAGATGAATTCATAGACCGCCGGACATGCACAGGTACAAGCACTTTTCGGAGTACGAACGGGCATGGGGTCGTTGTACCCGGTGTGATCTAATGAACTGCAAACGAGGGAAACATCTCTTCACGCGCCTCATCGGCGAGCATCCACAAAGAGCAAGAAGGATCTAATACCCTCTGAACCTAGGCCCTCCATGCCCATTTTGCGACCCGCTCCCGATCGAGGCTGAGGTCCCTTGGCACTAACCGTGACCCAGCCTCTCCCGTGATCAGTTAGAGGGAGCGCCCGAGGAGTTCGAATTGGTCGCAACACAGTGGATAAACGCACAGCACTGCACTGCAGGGCACTGCACTGTATAGCTGCAGACCTGCCGATACAGTGGACGGGTCTTTCGTCAAACAGACTAAACTTCCTGTGATCAGGTTGAATCATGCCTACCTACCGATAGGCTTTCCTTTCACAGCCTGCACGCGCCGAATCGGGCAACAACAACTGATCCTATTTGTTTGTTCTTTTGGGCCACCTCGAACCTCTGCGCCGGAATCCAACCATCACAACCGACCAAGCTAGTGATCCGGCACTCACTCCTGAACTAAGCACTCACTCCTGAACTAATGGCCCCAACGCCGAGCCCTATTGAACATCTTCAAGAGTTGCCTCCCAAACCTTCTTAAGGAAATGGGGACACTGATGCGAGCTGCACTGGCATGATCTTTCAGGTCTTTCTCATACAAAGGCCAACGCTGACAAGCGATGGGGCCTAGGATTGGAAAGCCTTGCAAAGCAAGAGCAAGTCAGACAGGCTGTGACAGGCAAGAACTTGTTGACCGGATGGCAAACATCAAGCATCGCATAATACAAGGCAACGTGACAAGCGAGGCCGACCTGTCAGGGTTGATCATCAGGCGCCCCGTGAAGGAGGCGTCGCAGGTAGGGATCATTTACTTGACTCGGCCAGCGCTCGGTCTGAGGAAGAGGAAGGAGTTGGGTGGCGCGTGTTCCCAAAACGCGAGCATCAAGCCGATTGGCGGGCAGCACTGCTGGGCCAGCAGCTAAGTTATCAATGGCTCGAGCGCGAGAGAGAGAGAGAGAGAGAGAGAGAGAGTCAACATCGACCTCACCACATAGCGTGAGGACTGTCGAGAGCCCATGCGATGGAAGTCCAGGTTGGCTACTGTGTGCAACAGTGGCTTGCAAGCGCCTCTTTTGTGTTGGTAGCCCGCGGCCTCCTCAGCTTTCAAGGCTGAGCGAGCCTGCCGATGAAGAGGTTGCTCTTCATGACCTGCAACTGTGCGGAGACCAAACTATATAAGCGGAGAGCTCTGGCGAACTGCTTACACAACCGAGCTGGGTAGACTTGAGCAAGCTTGGTGCACTTTCCTAGCGAGGGGTGAATTTCCTGGCGAGCGTGCCAATCTCTCGCCAAAATGGCATCAACGATAGTACTGACGATAGTCACTCAAGAAATGACTAGACTCGAAACGAAAAGATAAAGCACACAGAACAGTTGTGGGGGTAAGTGATCCAGGTGTCCCAGACCCACCGTAAACACCTGACCACATGATTTTACTCTCTCACTGGACCGGGACCCAAGCAAACCTACTACTTCCATCCAGCTACACCAGTCCAACGGTCTTTAAACACATTCAAGCTCTTCCATCCTTCCCAGAATCCTTCCCTATCCTCTCTTCTCGCACCCTGCCAGGACTCATCCAGCAAGCGGGACAGATCGGAATCGGTGAGATGTTCTAAACCTGTCAACTCATCAGGCAAGAACGGGGGAAAATGTTCCCACCAATCCAGAAATCCCACCAGGTTGTAAGTGGCTCGGAGGTAGGACAGGGCAGAACTGTGCTTCAAGGGAGAGCGGCCACAAGGATTTTGTGGGAGCCGCTTGTAAGTGTGCGCCTGTACAAAACAATCGAGCTTGCATCCCAATGCCAATATTCTGCAAAGACCCCCTCTCAGCAATGATCTCAGTTCTGTCGTCGTGGAAACGCAGCCCAGGCACGGCGAGCGGCTCGTGCCCATTTCCGCACACTCCAGGTGCTCGGGTCATCATGCTCGAAAAGCAACGCGCTCCAACCTGGTGGGCAAATAGAGATTGTGTTTGTTGTGGTGAGATGCTGACTTCACAGGCATTGGATGCCCTGGTGCTGTTTCTGTATATCCAGCTGAATAATGGAAAAGCTGATGTTAGTGATCAGAGATTTTGGATCCACCACACGATTGCCATAACACAACTTGGGTGGAGTGGGCCCGTTCAAGCTTCAGAATAACATGAGGACGCTATTTTGTTGGAGCATGCAGCAACTTACAACTTGTTTGTGCACGTCACGACTGTATGTGCAAGGGAGGTCAGGCTCGTGCAACTCATACACTTTGGAATGAAGGCCGGAGAATTTCATGCGAACAAGAAGCTACTAGGGGCTCCTGGCATCGCTACTAGGAGCAAGGACGCTACTAAGGGCTCCTTGGCCTTACTACTGGGAGCAAGAAGCTACTAGAAGCTCTCTCCCGTTGTCGTGAACCTTCACAAACTGAGACTCTCTGAGGACAGAAGGCCGGACCAATTCGTCGGGCAGCGGGAGACGAAGCGCCCTCGGTTGACCGCGCGTAGCAGGAGATCGCTTTGCGGGCTGCAGCTGACTTGGATGAACTCCTGGAAGTCGATCTCGCCTCCGCGCCCAGTAGTCATCAGTCGGTTGGAATTCATCAATGACTCCTTCAGTCGTGAACAAACCAACTGACTGACCCCACCCACGCGCCATCTCCATCTCGGTCGAGGTCTGCCACGATGCTGCGGACTCGGCCTCAAACAGAAATAGAATCTTCCAAAACCCTGTAACTGGAGACTCGATACAAATGCTGGGATTATGGTCTTTGGTGCTTGGATCTAACCCACCCGCCCGATGACCGACGGATGCTGTTTTCCTGCATATATATGTATATTATATATATATATATTAATACACCTAATTATATGTAACTGCATGCCGCCATATTCTTTCGTTACTCCAAGATGAGCATAGGTATGGCGAGGCTGCGGATGACTGGTGTCAACAACACACACCAATTGTCGAAGTGTCCACCAGTTGGGTGGCTGCGGCGATTCGTCAGGTGAGGCTTATCAAATGGATAGCACAGCAAGCCCGAGGGTGCAAATGTTGATTCCTGTTTTGTAAGTTAGGATTCAGCAATGCTCCACAGTGCAAAGCAAACATCAATTAATTAAGATTGCACAATTTATGAGATCTTGCTCTTAAAGGAGATCCCAAGAAGTCACCTAATACCAAGAACGCGGGTTTTGAGTTGGAAGCCAGGATCCTGTTGGAGGGCCCGCAAGTCCTGGCATTCCGGCAACCCCACTTTTTTGTGACTGTCCAAGACTTTGAAACAGGAAAAGCAGAAAGGCTGACGGTCTTCCCTTTGCAGAGGCACTCTACTGGCAGCCAAGTTCCCCCCCACGCTAGAGCTGAACACTCAACTCAACCTGGATCTTCGCTCAGCAGGAAAGTGTGCATAAAAGTGAAGGCCCAGCAGGTGGCGACCATGTCCACATCACATCACATCACCTTTTCTGCTGGGCTTGTTGTCTCCACCAGGGGGTGAGAGCTGCCACGGCTATCTGATCCTCCAAGCCACTGAGGTCTGTGGTGATTCCCAGAACTCGAAGCGCGCTTAACAGCTCCTGGAAATCTGAGACAAGCAGGCCGAGCTAGATTCGATATGATCTTCCCAGATCGGCTTGCTTAGGTAGGCATGAAGAGTCCACAAGAACCTCTGGAATTGAAGGCGTGAACAATTCCTCCACCAAATCCATAAGATACCTTGTTCGATGCGGTCGATTCCGAAGCCATCTTGAAGACACGTCGAACCCTGACGCGCTGCTAACATCCCCTGATGGTCCTCTGGCACCGTCCCAAACCCTCAACTCTTTTGTAAGACAGATGCTGCTCCCCGCGTTGAGCTAGAGATGTGCCTCAAATATGCTCAGATGGTTTATATTTATGTCAGTTTAAGAGGTGAAACTACAATAAGAGGATTTTGAAGGTCAATGCCTTGAACGCCTCGGGTCGTCGGGCACCTGGGGTCCTGGACCTCGCCCACCCCATGGTCTCCTGGGCGCTGATCTTGCCATTATCGTCGGCATCTGCCAGCTCGAAGACCTCCCGCAGCTCGGAGCCTGAAGAAAGCCGAGAAAGACGACTCGACGACCGTTCTGTCCATTTGTGCTGGTTGGCTTTTGCTTCGGCGATGGGTCTTGATAGCTCTGGCACTAAACATTGTTTTTGGCGTTCAAAGTTGAAACCTGTCATTCTGCACAACTGTTCAGTTTGGCCTCTCCTGGTGTTTTTTGCTTTTGATGACCACCCTCCTCTGATCTCCTCTGCACTTGCGTTGACTCCATGACCTACTAAACCCTTGGTCTGGCAGAAGCCTGGCACTGGCCATTGGTCCTTCAAAAGCTATGATTTTGGATGATTTTGGCAACCTCACAATCTGCATGTCCACTGCCACTTTGAGAAACACTCTGAGGCCCTGGCGAAGCTCCTCTGGCGCGCGCGACTCGCCGCCACGCGCACCAAATGTGCGAAGCGGCCGGCGGCGAAGAGCCGCGCTCCTGGCACGAAATCACTTAACACCCCTGTCCCTTTGATTTGGTTGAATTCTCGCGAACTGGCCCAGCCAATAAGACATTTACGTAAATTTCTACTGGGCAAACGGGACATTGATGCCATACAGCCATACAGCCATAGCTTCTACAGTATATACATGTATATACAAGTATATATACATAGATCATAGATCATAGATGTGTCTCAGCAATGAAGGACGCTCAAACCGGCTCCATTGGCCTCCTACTGTGTCAATGAAAACAGGCAGCCTTAAATCGGCCCAACCTCGCCTGGCGATCCCGACCGCAAGAACTCCAGACCCCAGGGACCAGTGCGACCTGCTAGGAACTGCAGGGAAAACGATAGAACGATCTTCCATCAACAAAACCATCTTGGGCTTTGCATCACCTGCTATTCAAGCAGTTCCCGTTCAATGAATGTCCAATTGATTGGACACAACCACAAGTAAAGCTCAGCACAATGTAGAGCTTCGCCATGCAGCAGGCATTGTCATGACAGGTGACAGTCTCCCTATCAACCAGGGCCAGCAAATCTTCACAGTGCTCTTTCACAGAAAAGGGAGAAGAACAGCACAACCATGCGTGCGTACCTTGTCACATCGGCCAAAATAACTCCTAGTAAACCCCAATTCTTCAAAATTCTTGGTGCTATGATTTCTCATACCTTCTGAAGTGGTGCTCCAGATTCAGAAAGAATCTTCATGAATCTTCTGGCCGACCTCTGCCTTCGCGTCTCGTGCACATAGCCCTCGGGCGCCCATCTCGGCAGATCGAGGCTCGTCGTGGGGCGCCATGGGGTCGGGCGCATCCGGTGCGGGTGATGTTTTGATCCATGGACATTGGGAGACTGTGGCTGCCTTTGACCCAACGACGCCTTGGGACGTGCAAAAAGCTCAGGCGCATCTGCCCGGTCCTAGTGGCTTTGGTTGTGGAGCTCCAAAAGAATGGGAGAGTTCGTAGTCTCTTCTCCGACACACGTTTGTTTGTGGGATGGTTCTTGCATGTTTGAAGCATGAGGTTCTCAAATGGTTGCCATGGATTGAGAACAGTAAGAGCCCAGCCAACCTGATTCCGGTGCAAAGAGAAGTGCAGCAATCCCACCAGTCAATAGTCCTGGTTGAATGGGTTGTTGACGGTCATGGAACCGAGCAGCCTCAAAAGCTGATTCGTCTAATCCACCGAATGTAGAATAACTCATGTCAGTACTGAGCCCTTTCAACCGGTCCTCTGACCCCAGTTGAGCCAAAGCTTGAGAAAGCCGCGGCCAGACTGTTGGCACATGGACAAGATGGTGTGGAGAAGCACAAGGTCCAGGAACATTTGCAGAGCAATGCAAATCTTATCTCAAACCTTCACTTGCACAGAGCATGAGCCATTCACAAACAACCAAAAGTCTTAGAATAAGGAGTTGGTTTGGGGCGGTCGGCAAAGGAGGCTCAGCCACCAAGGCTAGCCCGATCATTGATTTATATAGTTATATACATACATATATATATATATTTACATATAAAAAAAAAAGGCTACATAGTTTTTGCTAACAGCAATATCAACCCGCGTGGGAATAGCGTCTCTGTACAAACTGGATCTCCCTGATGATGTCGAGTCTGAGGGTCAGAGTTCGACACGGACACAGTCTAAGCGGTTTTCGTGAACCAAGGAGCCTGTTTCAATCGGGGTTGCCTCCATTGAGTGCGTTCCCACAATGGTCCGAGTAAACCTGTACTGACTGTACTGTAGCATCTTTGAGGTGGTTCCATCGACTATGTTCCTCTCCCATGGTGGTTGTGCCACTTTTCCGACCAAGCACTGGAGGTTGCGCAGCAAAGCGCTTCTCACGCTCAGGGCCTCGCAGCAAGTCGGTGTTCACCGAGACATTCATGGGTGTGTTTCGAAACAAACCACCCAAACCCCTCACGACCGTGGGATTGGCAGCTTTACCTTTTGTACATACCCATGGCAAGGATGGAGGAATACAACAGTCGAAAATAAGGCAACCTCCATGCGGAACGACTCCGAACGCCAAGGAGGTGTCATAGTGACAACATGAGCACTCCCCAAGTCTTTCACGTCTTGGCGGGCCACAACGATTCATAGATGTTCAGAAATTGATATGTGAGTGGCTGATAAAATCAACAGTTTTCGATGTTTGTCCCCGAAAGCAACTGCGAATGGTTCCTCGCAAAGAAAAAACTGCCCACTTCAACTGTCTAACTATCATCATCACACTTATCAACAGCATCATGATCATCATGCAACTGCTACAACACATCCACATCTTCATCAACATCAGCATCACCATCATCATCATCATCACCATCATCATCATCTCCATCATCATCATCATCATCATCATCATCTTTTTCTTTCATACGCTCATCGGTCGATGACTGCGTGGACCGTGTTGGTCCCACCTGGGCCCCGTGGGGCCTTCCTCAACTTTCAGTTGAAGTTCTTGTCGAGGAGTCTCGCCAAGGTGGAGGCCTTTGCCTCCATCTGTTGATGGGACCGCAATGCCCTATGCAGCATTGCGAACTGCCTCAGGCAGGGACAGCAATGGTCTTCACTCATGCCAATGCTGTGAAACGGTTGGCAAGCACACCATCTGGTGGGGTGCGCTTTAGAGAGGAAGCTCACTGCACATTGTTCTGCCAGGGAGCTGCTGTCTTCCCACAAGGAGCGATGCGCCACCTGCATGTGTGAGTTCAGATCACGAGGCCAACTTCCACATGTGATGCACTTTTTCACCAGCCGGTGGCAAAGTCGAGGATGGTCCACCAGCAGATCCGTGTCCATCAGGTCCAGCCCTTGCAGCCATTTGCTGTGCCATTCGTCATTGATGGACGGGTCATGGATGATGTTCTGCACCTTCTCCTGGTCCGTCAGGATGGGCGATTCGTCAGAGAGGGCAGAGACCTCCTCTGCACCTCCATGTGGTGTGCAGTTCAACCAAAGTAGGCAGCAGTTCTCCTGGGCCACCAGTGGGAGCATAGAGAACTTCACCGGCATGTTGTCGTCGTCATAGACCCACCATGAGTCACCGTCCTTAATGGCCGTGTTATAGTGTCCCGAAGAGGCCTCTGATCCCAAGTGGTAAGAGACGCCAAGGACAAGGAACGGGATGTGGTCGACCTCCAGCTTTGAGTTCAGGAAGTATGGCAGCCACACCTTAGAATCCCATGTCAGCCGAGTGTGACTCTTCCGCCCCGTGGAGTCAAAGCGGTCAATGTGCAGGCATGTGACGTCTGCTGGTTCAGTGAGGGCGTGTAACCCGAAGGATGCAAGGCTCCAATTGGAAACAAGACCTTGTAGGTCGATCGGCAGGGTGCTTTTTTGCTCGCTGCAGATGTAAAGTCGTAGTGGGCACCCTTGGGCATTGTGGTCCACCACCTTCAATTGACCTTCGTCCTCCAGCCTGCTTTCCCAACAACAGCTGAGAAAAAGAGGATTGGTTTGTTGAAGAAGATGGTGAGCAAAGTCAACCACATCATGTTGCCGAAAAGGATTGGGCCAGTTGGCCAAGAGGGTGGTCCACTGCCCATCCGCCCATAAAAGCATGGACTGCCCTTTGGACACATCTGCAAGGTCCCCTAATGCCCCGAGGAAGTTGGACCATTGGTCCTCCTTCAAACCATTGGCCTTGAGTGCACTCCAGGCTAAGCCAGTGGCCGCTGAGTTCATGTAGCAGGCGGCAGCAGGATTCTGAAGCGTCCTCAATGGAGGTGACGTGGATGCCATCACATTTGTTCCAGCATCTTGCCTACTTGTTGGGCAAGTGGTGTGCGATGAGAGCTGGCCGGGCGCATCCGTCCAAGCACTAGTTGCCAGAGTCCTGAATGACTGAGTTGGTGCCAGAGTCCCCTCATCTCGTTGGCGTGGGTGTGAACCAGGGCCAGTGTGATCCGCCAGGGAATGATGGCTGACGGTGCCTCCGTGTCCGTGGTCATGGCCTTCTGGATCTGCTGTTGGGGACGTAGGGCTCCGAATCTTTTGATCAGTGCTTCTTGCTGGAGCAGGGTGAGCGTCCTGGTCACTGTCTGTGTGGCTTGTTCCATGGTCAGGGGCGTGTCCTCCTGAGCCTCCATCTGCTGCTTCTGGGAATTCCACCTCATACGTGGAAATATGAATGATTCTCCCTTCTCGGGCTCGGGCTGCAAGAAGTTCAGGCGCAGCAATGTCTGGATCAAGGGATCGGAGGAGGCCGTGGATTGAAGTTTCTGAATCCTCTTCAACAGTTCCTCCAGCAGGGTTTTCAAGACCAGGATCCGGAGTGGATGAGTCCTTTCCGCAGTTGGAGTCTGCTGCCAAGTCTGCGTCTGGGCCATCATGCTGGGAAGAACTGAGCCTGGTCCCGCGCTCAAAAAAACGAAGAAGTCCGTCTCCATGGCCAGGCACTGAAGCGTGTCTTCGTGTCGAAGGACGAGGCGGGTCAGCGCATTCAGGAGTGTTCTTGTATCTGGTGTGGACTCGTCCTTGATGTTCTGGGTCTTCCCCTGCCCTTTTTTTTCCTTTTCCTTTTCCCTGGCCCTTCGCGCCATTCGACATGGAAGATCTCGGGCGCTTTGCCGTCTGCTTGTCCTCGTCCACCTCCATCTTCACCCACTGGTTCAGGGCCCCCCCACATCTCTGAGATCTGGTTGCCCTCCATGTCCATGATGAAGTATGGCGAGAAGGCTGGCTAGCTGCAGGAGCACTGGGCACTGTGCTGCGGTTGGGTGACAGTTGCAAACTGAACACTGTTGCTGCCTTTTTTGATAGAAGGACAGAAACTTGTAAAACAGCCCCCCACGGTTTCCATGTTTGGCATGGTTGTTCCAAAGATGTTGAAGCATGTCTCTGGGGTCAATCTGCCGTCCACATAAGCAGCACCAAGTACTAAGGGCTGTGCAGAGTGTGCCATCACCAAGAAGTTCGTCAAAGACTCCCGTGGCAAGAAGGCTGTCCATGTGTGGAAAGTTCATGGCAATGGTGGGGCTGAGAACTTGTAGGTCCAGCTTCAGTGCGTGTGCCAAGATGAGCTCATCGCTGGCATCCTTCAGTTTGTGCAGGTCATGATGGACAAAGAGGGCCAGTTGAGTAAAGACCGTGCATACATGTGGAGTCGCCGGAGGCCGAAGACAGGAGCAGCCAAGGTTCCTCAGAGCACTGTCTGTTTGAAGCCATTCAGCATACGTGGTTGCCATAGTCCATGATGTAGAGTGAGCCGAACTGAGATGCTTCAAAAGAGAGGATGAACTGGATGATTGATGTCCACAAAGGCCACAAATGTAGCCCAGCCTCCGAATCAGTGACTTGTAGGCAAGTAAATGGTCAAATGTGCCCCCATGAAGCCCAGAGATGACCACTGGATGGTGCCAAAGTAGCGATGGAGCATCCGGTAGTGGTTCAGGACATTGACCTCCATCAATGTGATGCCTTAGTGCTGCAAGACAAAGGAAGGAGGCCTCGCAGTGTGCACATTGCGTCAGCCCAGGAACTTGATCCCTGGATGCAAGGAAGGTCCTGGTCAACGTGGAGTGAGCATGCTCCATGGATTGATGTTGATGAAGTCCTGCGGCAGTCACGAATTTCCTGGGACATTGAGCGCAAGCAAATTGAGCATCCATCCTCTGCGGAGGTTGTGGGACCGGTGGTGGACATGCCGGAAATTGTGCACGGTGTTTCCGGTATGCAAGAGCAAGTCCCAGCTGTTTCTTCACAGGGCATGTGTGCGTTTTCGATCGAAAGTCCTGCCCACACAGTTCACA